GTGAACTAGGAGAACAAAAAGGTTTACACATGTTCACCTAGTAGAATAGACATATTGCCTGTAGGAGAGTGCAACCTAGATAGAGGACTAGAGAATTTCTAGAAAATCATGCATGTTTAATCCCTCTTAACTGTAATATGAGTTTCTAATGCTTCTTACGACCTAGATATAAGTTAAGGAGGACATGCATCTGATTAGCAATAATAACATGGGAAAATCTTAAAAAAATATTGACGAATCACTAGACCAATATCACAAAAGTATGAACTTTTCACCTTTGAGAATCTTCAACAACTTTAGTTCAATATTGTGATTTCTGTGTCAGGAATTTAAGAATTCTTTCAACCTTTACAACCCTGAATAGTTCAAATAAGACTTGACAGTTTAGTAAACTAGAACTTTTTTTGTAAGAAAAATCGATAAATTTTCTCGCGAGATTGATACACGGACTCTAATTATGTATATTACATGATCAACACGTATACTTGCACGATTGCTGACTGCCTCGTAGTAATTTCGGGCATCACCATGCAAGTTAGGTGCCCTAACTATTCAAATGTGATATTTTTTGTATCAATCATCGTAAGCTCGGCATACAATCATATCGTATTATATTAGAATGAATAGTTAGTTGGTGACATAATATACGAGAGTCGTAAGCTCAATCCTACTGGTGTTTTTCTATATTATATTCATTCGTTATATCCCACAATCTATATCAGGTTTCCATTATTAACTCATTTAAAAGACAACTCATCAATCTAACCTCCCATTTAGGATATCATATATTTGTCAGTATAAATCATAATAACTTGTCTTCTTGCATACACACAGTTCACAATAATTATATTGTATTTAACAAATTATATCATATTTATAATTTATCTTTTCATATCAAAAGTATATATAAAATTTGAACATAAATCAAAATTCTGTGGTTCACATATTTCAACTTATGCTCAAACTACAATCATCAATCTTGTAATAAAATTTATAATAATTCTACAAGTAATCTATTTTATGCCAATGTATCATGGTACACCATTTTCATTATATTTTTAGAAAAATTTATATAAATCAAATTAGAATATATGCCTAAAAAATTAAGAAATACTTGATAAGGATTTAAGAGCTATTTCAGATATCTTTTATATTGTATTTTCATTTTATTTAATTATGTTTTGATTTTTTAAAAACACCTAAATATTATTTTGAATACTTTATAAAACACGTTAATTTGGTTATAGAAATAAAAAATAAAAAAACGTAAAATATACTAAGAAAATTTGTTTTTAAAAATAAAATTAATTTAAAACAACCTCTTTATTTAATTATGCCAATATGTGAAGGATAGTTAGGGCAACAACATAGAAAATGTCGCATTATGAAAGCTTTCAAAATATCTAAATATTATAATTTTTACAAATTTTGAATAAATTAATAATCACATTTACATAAAAAAATGTATAAAATCACTCAAATTAGAGGTAGGGAGGGTAATGATAGCCTACTTTGAGATTATTAAGTTTTTCTTATCTCTCCCTCTCATTCTTCATTTCTCCTCTCTTCTTCCTCACAAATTGGGAAAAGTAAAAGGATATTGTCTTATGAAAATTTTGGAGAGGAATTTTAATGACATATAAAATAAATTATTAAGGTGTAATTGTAGTTATACAAATTATTAGGGGTTTAGTTGCATAATTCACCTAAATTCTCTTATATCCTAAAATTCACTGCTCTTCTAATAATAGTTATAAAATAGGTTATCATGTCTAAAATACTCTAAAGAAAGGGGTTCATGAAATGGATGCCAAATGATTAAAGAAAATGATTTGTATCAATATATGTAAATTTGTTGATAAATTTTAATCAAATAATTACCCTTTTATTTTTATTTTTAAGGTTCTCATAAAAATAATTTGAAATACATTATGCTCCACAATATGGTGAGAAAAAAATATAAATCAAATTTATAACAATTTTTTTAAAAAAAATTGAATATTGCATGTTAAAATTTCATTTTATATATTTTAAAGATATTTCCTTCTTATTTCTTAGTAAATAATTTATAAAATAATTCAAAAATGCATATATAATATATATATATATATATATGAGTGTGATCGTCTGGCGATTGTCCGTCGTTGATATCCATGAATGATCGGTCTTGTAATCGGTCATTTCTTTAGCTCTTCTGGGCCATCTAATTGTTCTGAGAATCGTGTAGACGTATTTTTTTGTATACACTTATAATTTTAAGCACTTTAGTTTAAAATGCAAGAAAATTTAATGAGAACTAATACATATTTATTGATTTCAATGATGGTAAATTGGATCTTAATTTGAGTTATGTCACATTATTCCATGTGATTATTAATGTAAGTGTGTGTCAAGGGAGGAAGATAATTACCATGTGTAATCTTGGTTTGAATTTGTTTTTCTCAATACGAGAGAGCTGACCATGCTAATGGTATGTGATTAAAATGAATATGAAATCCTTAATAATTCTAAGAAGACAGATGGATCAAATGTATGTCTGACAATATGTTGCAGCAAATTATATCATTTATGGATGAAATTATTTCATTTTGAGAGCAATCTAATGTCACAAAAACTTATGATTTTAATGCTTATAGCAATCGTAGTAGCTTCGAGTTGTTTTATCTTTATTTTGTATTTAAATTTAGTCTCTTATAAATATAGAAGATGTTGAAGTAGTGAAAGAATAATGATGGAAGTGAAGCAATGTTAGCTAGTGTAATTGGGTTAAAACAATGAAGCAACATTAATTGGACAATGAAAATTAAATGAATGTTAGAGGCCGAATGTTAAAGAATGAATTATGAAGTCTAAACAAAGTGATCAGACAAGACGGTCGAATAATAACTATGAGACGAAGGTCGTCAGGCAAAGATAGACATCGATGTCAAACGCTCGATTGAGCTTTAGAATATCTTAAACCTTTAAACTATATCGAAACTAAAGTTCTCATCCCCCTTGTAATAAAAAAAATATGATTTTTTTAATAAATTTTGAGAGTGATAAAAATATAAATCTAAATAAAATTTCATAACATTTCATCAAACTAGTAATGTTAATTTTGTTTTATCGTATATTATTCTTTCAATATTTAAATATCTCACAATTTTAAAATTAAGTGATTTAAAACTCTTCTCATTTTTTTTATTGAAATGCTTGATTTGATTATAAGAATGCTAGATTTAGGAGTTTTTGTATCGTTCAATTAGTGTCTTGAAATTTGCATCCACGCATAATGTGTTATTTAGGTTTATTGGGACTTGGATTAGACTAATTTACTGTCATTAGATTTGTTCTATCAAGATATTCAGTTTGATTAATTTCATTATGCTTATAATATGAATATTAGAGTATTGATGATTAAAAATATGACAATAAGAAATCATGTAAATCATTTATCTTTCTATACAATACATACATGATAAAACTATTATTTCAATAAAATGTATAATTTCCATATTAAACTAACTATATAAATTAAGAGCAATTTACACAGTAAGGAAGCTTATATTTGACTTTAGTTCAAGCCTTTCTCCTAAGATAAAAAATTATGTTCCTCCAAATTATGATTGAATCATTTAGGTGCTGTCTGGCAAGTATTTAAGTCAAATCCTATCAGACAACCATTTTGCACAAAATAAATCTTGGATTCATAAATCCAGATTCTGTAGATTTCAGTTGTAAATCCCGTAAATCCAAAATCTCATGAATTCCGGGGCTTGAGAATTAAGTTCGCGGGCTTTCGATTGTCTTTAGCGGTTATAACGACTTCCTTGCCGAAATTGCCAATCAGTTATATGGAATTTACATATTTTAGTCGATTTGTTGTCACACGTATTTTCAACTTTTACCCATTCAAAATTTAGTAAATCTGAACCAGATTTACTAAATTCTATCATAATTGTTATGAGACAACACCTAATCGTGTTCCGCTCGTTTATATTTCAAGTTCAAAAAATGTGTTCGTGTTCTGCTCGTTTGCTTAGCCAGCCGAATACGAGCTGTTCATGAATAAAGAGTCGTTTTTACAGCCCAATCGCGTAGTCATAAGATGTTAAGAGTTGGAAAAAGATTTAAAAAGTAATGTTTATATTAAAACATCATTTGAATCTAATTTAATAATTTTTATTCTATTTTTTTAATCAGTACTTCTAATTGATTATAAATCTTTGTAGCTTTGAAGTCAATTAATTTTTTTAAAAATACTATTCATTAATATATATATATATATATATAATTGATGAGTAGTATTTTGAGTCAAAACGAGTTGAATACGAACGAGTAAGTCTTGATTTGTGTTCGTCTCGTTAACTTAGCGGACAAGCCGAACACGAACTTTTAATAAGCTGAACATGAGCCGTTTTGACAGCCTTACATGGAGCCTATTTGACTGGAAAAAATATTACATCAGTACTACGCACTTAGAAATACCGTGCGTAGCCAATAAAATCACGCCACGCGTGATAGGAGAAAAAAAATGGCGCAGTAACACGGAGAATATTTCTTCCCGTGTTATTCATGTGTTATTGTGTGTTATTCATGTGTTATTGCGTGTTATTCATATGTTATTGATGTGTTATCGTGTTATTATAACACCAAGAATATTCTCATGATATAATAACACACAATAACACTTGAATAACACGGGGAATATTCCCGATAGAGAAAAAAACGGCACAATAACACGGGGAATATTCTTCCCCGTGTTATTCATGTGTTATTGTGTGTTATTCATGTGTTATTGATGTGTTATTGTGTTATCATAACACCAAGAATATTCCTAGAACACAATAATACATGAATAATACACAATAACACATGAATAACACGAAGGGGAATATTTCCCGTGTTACTGCGCCGTTTTTTTCTCTATCTAGGTGGGTAGTACTGATGTAATATTTTTTCATTTGACTGAGACCTAAAATTTTTTCTCAAATCAAACAAATATTCCAACATGGACTGGCGAGTAGTTTGTACTTCGCCGAATTAAGTTTTCACGGGAACAAACGATTTGGCATCCTGCAATTCACCGTTCTCTGCACTGACAACCAACGAGAGAGGAGAGCTTCGAAGTTCCCATGGCGGAGAAGCCGGAACCCGTGCGTGTTCTCTACTGTCAAATGTGCGGTTTGCCGGCTGAGTACTGCGAGTTTGGGCCCGACTTTGAAAAGTGCAAGCCCTGGCTCATCCAGAACGCGCCAGATCTCTATCCTGATCTACTCAAAGGTATCGGAAACCCTACCTATCCCAATCAATTGAAGTCTTCGATCTTCGGTCGTCTAACTGATGTATTTGTTTCATCTCTTTTAATCCCGGGATTCAGAGGCTAACGATAGGCAAGCGGAGAAGGCTGCAGAGCAGCTGCAGGCTGTTGGGATTTCGAGCTCGGGTGATGGTGGAGGTGCACGCGAGGGCCAGGCGGATCCTTCTGGTACTCAACTTAGTTTATTCATGATAAAAGCGGTTCCTTTCCTTGCGTAAATACAGCATGTTGGTTGGCTTACATGGGAATATTGGGACTATGGTAGGGTTTTAACTATTGATTCACTTAGAGGATCCAGGAATTCTGTTGTTGAAAGGAAGTCTATTTGCATGCTGCTTAGATATTGTTTTATCTGGAGCTGCTAAAAGGTTGAAGGGTTAGCTTCTTTCATTAGAAAATGAAAATCCCAAACTTTTCCTATTCATCTGATTCTAGGGAAATCAATACACCTGCTTCTGCTAGAATTGATTTCTGCAGAAGTTTTGTGGAGCATTTAACAGCGAGTGTAAGAGAAGAGTTTCTGAACGTGACATCCATCAAGATACATTTATACAAGAAATTGCATAACTTGATCTTGCAGCACACTACCAAACATTAGGGAAATAAGTCACTATTTCTTCGTGCAAAATCCTCTTTTTTTTTTTTTTTTTTTTTTTGATAAGTGCTGCTCGAAATTCATTTGGATTTCTTGTACTTTGATTTAATATGCTTAGCATGTGTAAGGCGGTGCTGCTTTGCCCCATGTATTATATTTTCTGGAACTGATTATAGATAGCCAGCTATAATGTCTCATCTATTGCACTAGGGTGAGCATTTTATTCACTTTTTAATTATCTTGGATTCTTGAAGTTTCGAGGAAGGAATGATGGAACTTGATCAAGGGAAAGCTGAATTAGAAATGTTCAACACAGTTTTTGAATAGCGGAGGAAGGATTTGAATTTTGTGAGCATTTCGTTGGAGACATTACACTCCTATGTATGCACCAGAATTCCGGGTTATATTACATAACTTTTGCCCATAAAATTATTAATTATATTGTGATTAGTAATTGCATGATAATTTTCTTATGACAAAATACACTAGTATTTAACCATGTTTCAATATCTTTATTTAGGAAAATAGAAGTTGATAATCCAATGCTTGTTATTATTTACTTCACCCAAAATTTGAGTGGGATTTCCGCCCAATGACCATAAGTCGTCAGCTTGGGCCATCAGATTACAAATTTATGGCTTTTTTTTTTTTTAAGAAACCGCCTATACTTATCAAGCTGTAGAGTTGAGATTTGATGATTAACTTAAGAGTTAGTGGTGATATTATAGGATGTAAAAGCTTAATATTCCTTTGGTTAGATGTCAATCAATTGATTTTATGTTTGATGGCAAGTTGATCAATTTTCGTATTTAGTTCAATCATGTTGAACTGGGTTGCATTCAATGTTAATAATTTATTTTTCATCATAGTATCACTTTATAATATCTTCTCATTTTATTCCCAAGCCATTCAAGATGATTTTGACCTACAACAATTTACAGATGTTTTGGGCATTGCTCAGCTTCAACAATCGATCTGGTGATTACTTACTGCTTCTTACTTCTACAAGTGATTATATTTTTACCTAGGAAGGTGTAATAATTATTAGTACATCTTCTATTTGTGTGAGATTCTACCTAATTAGCATATATATATGCTTTTAGGATGTGTCTTCTATTTCATTCAAATAAGATTCATTTTCTTGAAGTTTCTTCAAGGCATTAATGAGTTTTATATGTTGCCTGTAGATGTGATTCTTTAGGATTTTGCATGAATTGATCTAAAACACTTATAATATAGGCAATATTTGAGCTTATGTGAACAAGATAGACAAGTTTTTCGATCAATCTTCTCCAAGTTTGTGGTAGTAATCAATTAGAACTTTTGAGGATTTTTATCCCATCGTATATGGGGTTCATTTAGTAAAATGTAGATTTAGCAGTTTATTGGAAAATGAGTATCGTAGCCCTCAACTGAGCAACTCAATATCAAGAAAGAATTTAATGACTCCTAGACCTTTCACTTCAAATTATGTAGAAATTTGATCTTTTGTTTTCTTTATTCCTTCAAGAACATTACTTTTTATAATGATATCACCCATATATACTATAATAAGTGTGATTTCCTAAAAGACTTTGAGCTTAGTTATGGGATTGGTTTATAAAATTCATCCTTTCAATGGTTTTGTTGAATCTCTTAAATTAAACTTTTAGGAATTGTTTGAGCCCGTATGAAGCTTTTTTTAACATGTACACATAGGTAGTGCTAAAAAACTTATTAAAATATGGTTGGAGTTCCATATAAGCTTCTTCTAGTAACATTAATTTGAGTTCGTTTTTTTCATTTGATTGTTGTAGGACTAGTTGAGGTTGGATGCTAAGGATAGAAGTATTGATGTATAGTGTTTTGACTGGTGCAAATTTTTCTCTCAATAATCAGCTCCTTAGGTTTGAATATAGCCTTTTGCAATGAGTCTAGATTGCACCATTCTAGTATCCCATTTGTATTGTAGTGTATGCCAACTTACATTCAATTAATTTCATTTTTCTTCTGGCAATTCTACCATCGTTTAAGTTTGGTTATCTTTTATATGTCTTGTTTCTTCAGTCATGGCTTTTCTCAATGCTTTATTGTCAAGTGCTTTTTGGTTAATTTTTTGAAACTTGATGTTAGTTATCTCAGTGAAAAATATTTTGGTTTAAAATTTATCCTTTCAATGGTTTTACTGAATCTCTCAAATTAAACTTTTAGGGATCGTTTGATCCCGTAAAAGCCTTTTTTAAAATGTACACATGGTTAGTGCTAAAAATCTTATTAAAATATGGTGGGAGTTCCATATAAGCTTCTTCTAGTAACATTAATTTGAGTTCATTTTTTTTTTCATGTGATTGTTGTAAGGACTAGTTGAGGTTGGATGCTAAGGATAGAAGTATTTCAATGATTTCTCTCCATAATCAACAACATAGTTTTGAATATTGCCTTTTGCAATGAGTCTAGATTGCAACATTCAAGTATCCCGTTTGTATTGTAGTGTATGCCAACTTACATTCAATTAATTTCTTTTTTTCTTCTTGCAATTCTACCATCTCGTAAGTTTGGTTATCTTTTATATGTCTCTTTCTTCAGTCATGGCTTTTCGCAATGCTTTATCGTCAATTGCTTTTTGATTAACTTTTTGAATCTTTTTGTTAGTTATCTCAGTGAAAAATATTTTGTGGGAGGAGAAAATATTTGATGTATGGTACATGTTTGTGTTTTCCTTTTTTTAAAGCAAAAGGAAGGTTAGCATGATGATGAGTTTAAATTTTAGACTTGGAGATTATGCCTTCACTACAAGGTGATTGATCTTGTACGAATTTACTTGGCTTAGCATGCTTTCGTTCAGTTATTGGCTCTTTGTTCTTCTTGAGTATACCTGTAGTAATGGTTTGGGTTCATCAAGTAGGATTTGTTGGAATTGTTGTTTGAGGATGCCATTTGCATTGATAGTCTTCATTCCAAGGTTACTTGAGATTTTGTGTATTAATTCATGGTTGAGAGACCAAGATTGACAAAATTCAAGTTGTCAAAATTTCAAGGCTTTACCTTAGTCATATAATCCTTAATTTTCAACAAAGGCAACATCTTGGGTGATAAAGATTTTTATTAGAACTGGGATGTTAGCACTTCATGCTTTTTGAGTTTAGGACTATCCTGAAAAGATGCATTTTAGGTCTCTAGAATAAAGTTTAGTCTTTTGATAGTTTTGATGATTATAGACTACACTCTCAAAGGTTTTTAATGGAAGCAGTGAGTGTATTATGTGAGTGATAAATCTGATGAATATAATAGTTAAGATGGTTTTCCTCCGATTAAATTTTAGAGCATCTCTCTCAAAAGGTAGGACCCTAGTTGTCTTAAGGAGATGACAAACTTTTCTTAATTCAATCCCATTTTATTGTCAGGTTCTAGCACACGAGACTCAAAGGTATTTTTTTTTTAATGAAAAAAAGATCAGTTTTGATTAAAATACTGCTTTCTATTATCAGAATTGATATATTTAATACTAGTGTTAAATTGGGCAATGTCCATTTTATGCAATATTAGGAGGATTTTATATTAGACTTATGTTTCATAAGTAGGATTGTGCATTAATAATCATCTATGAAAGTAGTAAATCATATTTGGGATGGTCCCCATATAATAGTGTATATTAGGGAAAGAGACATTGAGGTTTTTGAGTGGCCCAGAAGTTATGATAGTATTTTATGTTTGGCCATTTGACACATCTCATATTAGAATTCTTTTAACTTTAATTTTATTGATTAATGTGGAAAATATAGATTATAGTACACTAAAATTTGTATGATCCATTTGAATTTCGTGGAGCCAAATTTTTTCGTTATTGTATTGACATTTTCAGATAAATGAGCTCGAGGTATGCTATTATAAATACTTGTGTCCCCCACAGTAGATTCCTCTTCTCATAGCATATCTAATCATCTCTTTCATGGTTCGATCTTGATAAAGATATCAAGTAGGATAAATTACTAAAATCTAATTTAATTAGATATCAATTTTTTGAATAGATATTATGTTCGTGAATTATTTAGATATGTGGATAATAGATGATAACAAAAGGGAATGCGCTAGTTTTATATATATTTTTTCTGGCAATAATGATTTGTGTTCCAACAAATGCTTTTATTTTATGATTTTTATTAGAATTATTTATAATGACAATCAAATCCCTAGCCATTATTCCTATTTATTTCTTTTCTATTAGCTTTTATTCCTTCATTATTTATTTCCTTTTTACTTTATTATATTTTATTTATTTTCTTTGTTGTATCTTTTGTAATTAGATTTAAATACCTCTTCTATCAATGAAAATAAGCTGCTCTATTCTCAAATTTGAAATGGTATTAGAGCCAAGAATTTAACCCTAGCAGCCGACTCTTCCTGAAGTTTTTTCCTGCAACTAGTTCCTTCTCCTATGTCTTGGTTCCTTCACCCAACTGCTGAATCTACCACCCCCGTGGAAACTCTTTCGTAAGAATTTCCCTAGTGTTCTCCCGTGGAAATTCTCTCAACCATACTCGGAAGAATTATCCCGCTTGTTTTCTCCAGTTAGAAGCCTTCTGTGAGGTTTATC